CTTTGTATCCTTAATTGTAGGAGTTCTGTTCAGCTAGTCTTCAGATGATTCTCCAGGTTAATTTTCTATAATTTAGTTGTAATTTTCATGTGGTCATGTGAGGCAGTAAGCACGGTATTTACCTACTCAGACATCTTGCCCAGAACCCATATTTTCTATAAATGTTTCCATATTTATTTTTTTTCTTACTCTCATTCTCTTTTTCCTCAGCAAACTCTTTAAAGATAAAGGGATGTGTATTTATTTGAACAGATATCTACACCACATTTACATCTCCAGACCCAACTTCTCCCCCAAGCTGCAGACTTTGGTGCCTGCTAGACATCTTTATTTGGATGTCTGGAAACCATCATCGATTTACTATGTCCCCAACAGAACTCTTATATAGTCTTCTCTAAACTTGATCCGTACTAAAGATTCCCATCTCATTATATCTATGCATCCAGTGGTTCAAGCCCAACCTAAGAATCCATTGAGACATCTCTCTGTCATCCTTATAGCCAATACATCAACAATTCCTTCTGACTTTACTCTCAAAAAATATGTATCGAATCTGACAACTTCCCACTACTGGCACTGTTGCCACCACTTTCATCCAGGTTGGCATTATCTTATCTCTCACCTGATCTACTCATTATTTACTTTATTACTGGACTTTCTTGTTTCTACTCTTGCACACACACTTGTATTTTCCCAGCAGTCAGAGAGCCCTTTTAAATCTGATCAGGTTGGGTCAAAACTCTCCAAGGGTTTCTTATCATGCATAAAATGAAATCCAGTTATTATCATAGCCTCTGAAGCCTTATGTGATGTGCTCTCTGTCTGCCTCAAGGAAGTCTATCTTGCTTATATCACTATAGGCATTCTGGCTTTTGGGATGTTTCTTCCCTGGACTAAGATCATTGCTGCCTCTGGGTTTTTGCACAGTGGTTTTCTCTTCCTGAAACACTATACTCCCCCCACCCCCACTCCAGTTTTTCGTGACTTGTTCCATTACTTCAAGTAGGTTATTTTCTTACCACCCTGACTTAATAGTGCCTTACTCCTACTCCCCTAATCCTGCTTTATTTATGTCCATAGTTTTGTCACTCTCTGACATTGTACTGCATATTTATTTATCATAATTTTCTCACTGGAATGTAAATTCCATGAAGGTAAAGATTTTGCATTGATCACAAGCCTAGTTCCCAATGAGCAAAGATATATATTTGATGTGCCCTATCTTTTAGTTGGTTCTGTGGAAAGTAGAAGAAATGATAGAATACCTAAAAATGAAAAGTCGGCCACCAAATCTCAGGGGAGTAGCACTCTGGGAAGGAAGAAAAGGTGTGTAGGAGATTTAACCTTGGTCTACAAAATGACTACAGGAGTTTGACCAAGAGGTGTCTCATGGGGTTTCCATATATCTTAAACCTGTTCCACTGGGCAGCCAGTGGCCAAGAAGTCACACACTTTGATAAATTTCCTTTCAGCCCTTGGTCAAATTCATAGGTTAAAACTTGGAGATACAATTTTTTTTATTTACTCAAGCTGTATGCATTGTAAACAAAAACTAAATAGTCAGCAAGTTCACCTGATAAAGATTTAGCATAAGTAGTCTAAATCAAATCTCAGCAAAATCCAAATTGTAACTGCATTGGGTAGGCTACATGTATCGAGAAAGGTTTTGTATGTCTCTACACCTTAATAACCTGGGTCTTGCCCATCTAGTAACTACTTATAAACTAGCATAATTGAGACAAAAGAATGTATATTACCACAAGTAGAGTTGCAAAGAGGGAGGTTGATGCAAGCATTCTTCAAGAGGCATATACCCTCTGCTACAACAACCTTTCCTGATAGTCACTGGGTTCAACTCTTAGGAGAGGATAACAGTAGGTAATTAATTACTGGGAACTTTTGCAAGGCAGGTATGTCCTATGGACTTTAGGTTCTAATTATTGAATTATTACTTAGTACCTGATAGGAAAGGAGGGATGAGCCTACTGAATATTATTTTATTCAAGAACAACATAACATATATCTCTCAAGTGAACTCGTGTAACCAATTAAATCCATTAGTTGGCAAGTCAATTCCATCACAAGTCAATACAAAATTCAAATAGTCATTACTATACATTTGTTTCACCTTAGGTATCTTAGCACCATTAGCAAGAAAAGCATTACAAAGATTTGTCAGAAGGGCACATCAGCCTGTTCAGAGATTTCCCATGATTGCACTAGACAGTAAAGTTTGGATAACTATAACTTTAGTCAGTATGAGGTTACTCTTTCAGATTTACCTGTGAAAGATTGAGTCGAATGTTCTTTTAAAAAAATCTAAGCCCTCATTAATTCTGACTATTTCTAACTGAATTTCCAGATGACTTCATGTGATGACTAAATAGTTTAGACTACATGTAATAGTTACCTTCTGAGGCACTTGCTTCATTGCTACCATAAGATCAACATTTGGTTTTATATGAATGTATAAATTCCGACTGGATCTAATTTAAGAATGTAGCAGACTAAATTATATTTTATCATCTGTCCAAGAAGCTAAAAACAGAAACCTAAGATGTAATTCCCATCTTAACTATTTTCAATTGTTTCTGCAGAAAAGACATGTTTTCTACTCAGAGGACATGTGGCTAAACATAATTATTAGAATCTTAGTGTCATACCTCTCGAATAGCAGTACAAAACTCACTCTGAAGCACTTTTTTAAGGGATTGTAGCTTGTGCACTGGTACTTCTCCAGACTCCTGTAGTTTCTCCAGTAATTCAATTGCTCTGGCAACATCTAAATGAAAAAAGAAAAAGAAAAAAAAAAGGAGANGCAGCCAAGATATCCCTCCTGATTTTAATGGTCACATACCAGTGTAGAAAACAGCCAATTCCATTCTCTCCCTCTCCTACCAGTCTCAAGGTGGCTTCCTCTGTATATCTGTAGTTGCAGGACTTTGGTTCAGCTAGAATTCAGGTGATTCTCAATAATGGTTGTTCTGTGGTTTAGTTGTAATTGATGTGGTCCTGAGAGGAGGTGAGCACAACATTTACCTACTCTGCCATCTTGACCAGAAATCCCTTAATTTTTTTTTCTGACAGTTGGTGTATAAAAATGCAACCAATTTCTGAATATGAATTTTGTATCCTGCCAGTTTATTGAATTCACTTATTAGTTCTAATAGTTTTTTGGTGGAATCTTTGGGGTTCTCTCTATATAGTATCATGTCATCAGCAAATAATGACAGTTTAACTTCTTCCTTTCCAATTTGCATGACTTTTATTTCTTTTCCTCATCTGATTACTGTGGCAAGGACTTCCAATTCTGTGTTGAATAAAAGTGGTGAAAGTGGACACTTTTCTTTATCCTGATCTTACAGGAGAAGCTAAAACACTTTTAGCTTCTCCCCACTGAGTATGATGTTAGCTGTGGGTTTGTCATATATGGCCTCTATTAGGTTCATATATGTTCTCTCTATTCCCACTTTGCTGAGAACTTTTTTTTTGTCATAAATGGGTGTTGGATTTTGTCAAATACTTTTTCTGCAACTATTGATAAGATTATATGATTTTTATCTTTAATTTTGTTTATGTGGTGTAGCATGTCAGTGGATTTGTGGATACTGAACCAACATAGATAGCATCCCAGGAATAAATCCCATTGGATCATGGTGTATGATCTTTTTAATATATTGCTGAATCTGATTTTCTAATATTTTGTTGAAGATTTTTGCATCTATTTTCATCAGGAATATTGGCATATAATTTTTTTTTTTGGGGTAACGTCTTCGCCTGGTTTTGGAATCAGGATAATGGTGGCCTCCTTATAGAATGAGCTTGGGAGCCTTCCCTTCTTTTGGATTTTGGAAAAGTTTGAGAAGAATAATTGTTAATTCTTATTTGAATAGTTAGTAAAATTCACCTGTGAAGCCATCCAGTCCAGGGCCTTTGTTTGTTGGGAGCTTATTGATTACTGATTCGATTTCATTAGTAGTAATCAGTTGGTTCAGATTTTGTGTTTCCTCTTGATTCACTCTTGAAATATTCTATGTTTTAAGGAATTTATCCATTTCTTCTAGACTGTCCAATTTGTTGGCCTATAATTGCTCATAGTATTTTCTTGTAATTCTTTGTATTTCTGTGGTGTCTTTTGTCATTTCACCTCTTTCATTCTTGATTTTATTTATTTGGGTCCTCTCTCTTTTTTTCTTGATGAATCTAGTTAAAGGTATATCAGTTTTGTTTATCTTTCAAAGAACCAGCTCTTGGTTTCCTTGATCTTTTGTATTGTTTTTATTAAGACACTATTTCATTTATTTCCACTCTGATCTTTTTTTAATTGGGGAACTGGGGGAGGGGAACAGTGTTGGGGAATTGGGGAGGGGCCCAGCCAAGTTGTTGTTCTTCAATTTTAGTTGTGGAGGGTGCCAGTCACCATCTGGTTGCCTATCGGCAGCTCGTAAACTCTAAGCTCAAGGTGCTGTCTTCCAATCTTAGTTGCAG